TCCAAGCAGAATTATTTTGTTACTTGTTCGTGTTTATTTTCCATATCTGACTTAATCCATGTCTTTTTGACTCCAAGCAAACACCAAAAACCAATGACAATCTGAATGAAACAACATTTTAATTCGGAATTCATAGAGGTGTAGTGAAAAATCCCTACCAACTTAATATTAGACCTCAAACTATATTGCCTTTAACTGCAAATACATGAGTTTTTCTTTTGGCAGACCAGTAGTACCGATCTGAGTGTACATGGCGGTCGCTTGAGTACTGAGTCGAGCGCATTCACTGTGTGCGTCCATGGGTGAAAAATCCTCTTTGGCCAGGTTCCATGTCGGGACCCATAGATTGCAGACAAAACACATTACGAGAAGTCGTTTGTACGTTGTGGTTAGTCTACTAGCTTAAGGTCACTTCTTAGTAGGTATACAAGGAAACCTATTTTAGGAAGGGTACACACTGGATGTACTCTGGTACGTGGCTGCGCTAGAGTCCAGTCTGTTGAGAAAACCTTTCCGAGCCTTTCACTACTACTAAAGAGTTTTAACCTGCGTACATCAATAGTGGATAACCTTTAAATTACTCCGGCTAGAGGTAATAGAAGTGTAAGTGGCCTCACTATAAGCCGGATCAGGTGCATTCCAAAGGAGCATATCGCACAAATCGAGCATTCAGTTATACTCGGCCGCTGCCGAACACATTTGGGAGGATATAGTAGGCGGCATATCAGCATCCACGGTTTATATCGCTTACGGCCAGTTTTTGCGGTACTGTGCGCTTAATGATTTTTGCCTACTTATTACGCCTTGATGTATTCACCAGTGACTGTTTCCAGCGCTGGACAGATCGTTGGTTACTGATACACCCTTGACCGAAAGTATTCCTTTCGTCGGAAATTGTGTGAAATTGGTATTATCAGCCAGCATCCTATTATGCAAATGGATTAACTCCAGCTGTACGCAACCCCTATTGCTTGTCGAAATTGTCCTATAGGGGTGGCAGCCAGCTCCCTTCAATTCACTCTGACTGACTGTGGTAAGCTTTTATTACTATTTAAGCAACACACTTACATTTACATAAATTTACTCACACACAGTGTGGTAAATTTTTGAATCTAGTGTGCATGCGAGGTAAGATACATAAACAAGAACCACAAGAATTATTAAGTTAATATCAAAACTAGAGCAAAGTTTCAAATCGTTTTACGTGATAAAAAGCGCTGTAGTCATGAATCGGGAAGTGTTGACTAACGTTTTAATGCACCTCCACTTGTCGTTTTATCTCATCTTGTAAGGAATTCGTGTCCCGGTTGAATTTCAGTAAGGCTATATGTGTGTTTGCTGATTGTCTACATATGTGCCCGTACTGGATGTGTCAATGAATGCATATCTCTGGAAACCGCACTCAGGGCAGATTTTCCTTAAAATACAGTAACTACCTGTCATTCTATACGACATGGAAATTTATGCTAACTGACATGTAAGTACCAACTGTTGGGACGCTTCACTCATTCTGTGTGTGGTTGTGTCGGTTAGCAAAAAAGTAGCCGAGCGGTGCACCATGTGACGATATTGCCCTAATCTGCGACAGCTCACGAACGTGCCAAACCGCTCTGGACAGATTAGCTCTGGCTGTCAGTCACTTCGGGTTTTGCTTCGCACAATTGAAGTGACAAGCGTTCCTCTAGGATTGGCCTGGACCGCCTCCTGCACTGACCCTTGGTGGGGATCAGCTATAAGTCGTTTAAAAATTCAACTACCTGGGAAGTTGTCTCAGAGCCCTTTTGATCAAAGATGAGATCATCAATAGTATTGCAAAATCTCGAGGCGTTTTTGCTAACCTACACCACTTATGGCGCCGGCACGACATCACACTCACCCTGAAATTTGGAGTGGACAATGCAGCGGTACTTTCGATCCTACTGTACGGCTGTGAAACATGGTCCATTAGATCAACCGATATCAAGAGGCCAGTTACGTTCGACCACCGACGTCTTTGCCATTTGGTTCACATCTGGTGGGAACACTGCGTGAGCAACGAGCGTGTTCGACGCCTTGTTTTCGGCACAGGAAAAGGAAATGAACAGCTCAGCACCGTTATTTCACGCATCAGGCTCCGATGGCTCGGCCACTTGCTACGCATGCCAGCTTACCGACTCCTACGACGTGCGTTGTTTGCGCGTCTGGGGTGTGAATGGAAAAAGAGGAGCATTGGACAAGCCATATCTTAGTCGCGAGGTATGAAGGCCCTCAGTTCGAAGCTGTCCTCAGTCGGAACGTCTCGGCTCCCTGTTTGCAGTCCGGAAGACCATGAGCACCTTTGGCTGGATACACTAGTTGACATGGTTAGGAGCCGACCTCAATGGTTTTCGTGCTGTGAGTCTCTTTGTCCCACCTCATCCCTTTGCGTCCCCTACCACAAACTCACTTCTTAACCTAATATAGGTCTGTGTATTAAATTTCTTCTGCTGCATAGTAGCCGGCTGATAGCTTACCGGAACGAGACCCATTCGTTACCGGTAGCACAGCTGGCTTGCATCTGCTGCACGTTTTTCTTTTATCTTCTATATATTGTGGCACATTAGCTGAGGTTCTTTCCACTAGCTAGCATGTATAATGATGATAAGGATGAAATACCTTGCACGGGAAGCTGTGTCAACTCCAACCTTCTCATGATGCAATCTCGACATTTTGGCAGAAGTGCTCGCAATGAAGGCACGTCTAGGGATTTTTCGTATAGATGTACTGGGTAGTGTCTCATGCTGAAGCTGATGTTACTACAACACTTTCTTACTGCAGTTGGGCTACACCGACTTGCACTTAGACTAGATCTTTTTAATCTGTATGAAATGTATTCCAGTTTATTACTTTACTCAATGCTTGGTTTCCCGCAACTTATTTATCGAATGTTTGATATTTCCGTTGTGACTGACCTTGTAATGAATGTTAACATAGTGCCTACTTGTTGAACACATTCTACCTCAAGTAATCGCCTCAGCAGACTCCTAAACTGTGCTGTGAGCAGTGTGCACGGTCCTCGTGAAGATGTCAGGCTCAAAGGTTGCTTCCACGCATCCAGTGTGGGACGGACTACGGCCCAGCGACTGCCTTTTTGCACATCTCTAGTCCGAATACTTCTCACGTTGATGAAACGTGGCTCCCATCCACATGCCTCCTGGTCTTACCCCTTCAATTTTACGCTGCATACATGGTACGTGGACGGAGCTGTGGGTGGTGTAGCGCACTCTCCCTATGGTTCCTCTGTAGGCGCATGCGTCCTGTGACTGTCGTATGGAGGCAGCACTGACAGGAAAATCCAGAACTGGATGCCGTTAACCATGCTGGGTGTTGCATTTGACCCTCGGTGTAAAAAAAACTTGGTTTCGCCTCGACCAAAGTTATATTTTTATGGTGAATGGGCAATTTTTATACCATACTCAAATGCGCACCGATATTTCGTTGTTGTGTTTTCGCAGCTACCATCGCACTGTAGGAATTAAGCTTGGGACGCCGGAGCGCACTGGCGGTGTCAGCTTGGGGACGTTGATACCCGCATATCTTATCAACCAGCCGTCGTCACACTGGGTTAGGATATAAGTGAACAAGACCGAAATTGTTCCTTATCGTAGTGGTTTCCAACTTCCACTACTTTACATTGAATTCATCTTAGCTAAACCTGGTAGGTCTTACGAAGTAGAATGTAGCACATCTTGAACCCGCTTTGCTAGCATGTGGTCGCAACGGCCGTTCATTCATGCTACTCAGGCTATTCACGTGCAAAACTTGTGTTTGCAGTTTGCACGCGTTATATAGGATCAGTACCGGAGGCAAGTACACGTGATTGATTCTCTAGCAAAAGACATATTCCATCAGTTAGCTCATCCTTGGGAAGCAGATAGTGCCAGACATGACCGCGTAAAGCCAATCGCTGTTTGTACCATTGAGTCCAGTCAGCAAATATGCCATATCCACGGTGCATTAGGGGAAAGTGAAGCAGCCCGTGGGCTTTATCTCAGATTTCCTCTGAATATCCCCTAGCACCGACAATTTTAACTGCAAAAAGAATCAAATCGCTGTTGCTCGGGTTATTGATACGAGCTCACGGGCATAGCTCCAGCAAGCAACGTTAAATCGGGGTTCATCTAAGCCATGTACGCACTAGAAGTTGAATAAGCCTCATGACTGAACACACTTCCAGCCCACGAGACCTGACAATCCTATGGCTCTTTCTGTCCTTATTGTACTATTGATTCATAGTTCCTTCAGGACTAACCTGAACGTGGAAGGTGCTAGAGAACATGATATAATATTTCAAGTAGAGTCAATCAACCTTAAAATATAACAAAAGAAAGTCAATCTGCTCCCGCTGTGTAGCTTGTCTATGTGAAGTACATGGAGCTTTCGCGGACAACATTGAATTAGTTGGATTCTCAAAGGCTGACTAAATTCCGCATAATAAATAGTTCATATCAAGGCGGTATCCATGTGGTGGGATATATCGATGACTCACGAGAAATTGTCAACAGAGATGTAAAAGTGCAGAAATGATAAAAGCACATATAATAATAAACCAGTTGATATTAATCTGCCACGTTAAGGTTTCGCTTAGATAATCACACTTGGTTCAAAGACAAGTTCATTGAAAGCGCGATCATTCATATAGTCACTTATTTCAATACTACCTTAGATTACTGATTCGAAACTTGTCTCCGCACTCATTCAGTACGAGCTCAGCTGAGAATGGACAATTAGGACAAAGTGAAATGCCTGGAGTCATTTCTGCTAGCTAGGGGTTGATGTACGACGTCTGATTTCCACTGTCTATCAGAATTACAATATAAATAAATAGCTAAAATCCGTGCGTGAAAAAACATGTTCTGAGCTGCATTGGAGTCAAACAATCAAGTTCATCGGGAGCGTACCTGAACGGTTAGCAGAAAGATACAGGAACTTATTCTAAGTAAGGAATGCGTCAAGAAACCCTAATTCGGCAACGAACTCACTGTAGTTCCACAACGTTGCTCTGAACTTGACCCATGGAATTTCGTGCAACACACCAGTAAGCACCGTTGTCCTCCGGATAGCAGTACAGTATGTCCAAGATAGCAAACCCGCGATCCAAAATGGCATTGAATCGACAACCTGTTTGTCAAAGCAGGTGGATAATGCATATATCTACACTGGTAAACAACCGTTGGAGAGTTGAGAAACGTGACAGCACACAGGCAGTACCAGGGCAAAGCCGGGGAGATGCTGTTTAGGAGCTTCTTCTGCAGCCAAGAATTAAAATTACTTTGTAAAAGCAAGCCATACCCATTCAACTATTGATGCATTTAAAACCTCCTTTAGAGTAATCTCAGCACTCAATTATGAAGTGATGCTAGCCTGACCACTCCTCAAAATAGTAGTGCATCTAAATTTGTCTGTGTTCCACAGGCAACACAGCATTATGTTTGCACAGGTTTGGCTTGCTTTTCTCTCAATTTCGCACACTAAGTAATAAAAGTTGCGCTAAATAAATAACTAATAGTGTTACTACTTCACGCTCAGAAGTTTGTCATGACTTTCCTTTTTATTTCGCTTCTTATAAATATATAAATTGCCTGTGGCTTATCTATCACCATGCGTATGAAAAACTCGTATGACCTGTTAATTCACTAGGTTTGTCTGTCCTTTTTCGTGTCTCTAAATGTTTCTATATACCTAAGGGTCATGCGAAGGTTGAAAGTTGATTCAAGTAAAACGTGACGGATAGTTGAGAATTGCACTCACCCATGCTTACAGGTTTTCCATCTTTGAACCATTCCACAACAAGGCTGGAGTCGTTTGCTGGTTCTAGAATTGTCTCGAAATGTGCTGGAGCAGATTCACGCAGATCGACTTGAGGGCTCAGTGGCTTCAAAAACTGTGGTGGTCGGGTAGATTTTGCCTCATCTCGGTATCGATTGTTTCTCTCGTATCCATTCTGCATCATCTGATTCTCCATTGCTGCCAGATTTGCGACCATGGATTCTTCGGGTAGCTGAGTCTCGGTAACCACACCCTCTTCGGGTATGACGCTGGAAAAAGTTGATGGCTTTTGGATACATGAAATCCACCATTCGACACAAATCATTAGTGAAGAGCACACTCACTGTAAACACAAAGTACTGAATTGAAGCACGTAGTGATTGTCTTAGCTGCATAAAAGTAAACACCGAATGCTAAAAGAGGCATTGCGGTCTTGCGGCTTCCCGTAGTAAGCTAGTGCGAGTCAACCAGTAAATTGTCTGCATGCCTAGAAAGCTACTGTGTTCAGAGCAGCTGCCGACCGTACACCATACCTACATAAAAACTGAATGGATATCTAGAATCAGGTCACGTGGCAGTGCATGACGAAAACACTCTTAGAAATTTGGCTCAGGTACCCTTATTGTCTATTAAACCAAGCCAACTTGTGAGGCACGCTACACAGGTATAAAAGGTATTTATGACCCCATAACCTTCATTCTATCAGAATGGGTTTCACAGTAACTGCATGGTTGCATACTGCAGCCGTATACAGCTTGCTTTCGAGAGATAATTTACGGATGTGAGCTGCTCAAATACCGCTGTTACTTCCAACCCTAGAAACATTGAGCAGTCATCGGCGCATGCGTGGAATATTAGAAGGCTGCAGACGCTATCCAATCAATGGTGGCTCTTGGACGTCGTCTAATTAAGCGGATAGTTCTTGCTCCCAAAATTATTTCATGCATCATAATTACATTGTCACTCAGATAACAATGACACCCTAGTAACAGCATGTATGTTATGCTTATTGGTACGCAGGGGGATTTATGTAGTTTTACTGACTTTTCTTCGCCGATGATTCAGGCCAGAGATACACCCAACTAGCCAGATGTCTGGCAATCTCCTGATAGTTGGGAAGCTGGTTAATCTGGAATTAGTCCGAAGAATTCCTGTTATACACTACTTTGACTTATATGATATGTTTATTACCTAAGAGGCTGATGGCAGCAAAACAGTGTAGTTCCAAGTATGGGTAATGGGCTCAATCGCCCAGAACCGAATCACTTACCTTCCAGGGCAAGTTGGGCGAGGACTTTAACCTATTCCAAGGCTTCTTACATCAGTGGAACAATAATGTTTGGATATACTGACATTAAAGATTGCTCTGTTTCATTATGTGGTCCCGTCACACACAACGTCTAAACGTAGTCACTACCAAAAGTACAGCACATTCCGTCAGACGAGACAGCCAACCTCTTAAGTGGCCATAACACATTCCTTTCAGGGCTTTACGACCTCCACTTCCAACCGTAGCCCCAGTGGTAGCAGTCTTCACCATTGAAGGGTAGGCTTTCCGACTTAACTGGTAAACTGGAAGATCCAGACGTGCAATTGGAATAGCAAAAGCAGCTTCGTGAGAGCCCCACTGCTCCGCCTCCTCAGGATGTTGATCAGCATTGGTCGCGATTGCAACAGATTACTTTTTCAGCGAGTTTACCAGTTGCGGTCTTGTTCGTTGCACCAATAAAAGTTGGATCTCGGCCACCTCCGCGGAACTTCTCGAGTATCGGTGAGCTATGCTCGTCAGCGTGGAGCACGCTGAGCTCCGCCGTTCTATTTCCAGACCACTGAAAGTGAATCTTCACCGTGACCATGAATCCTGGTAGTATAAACAGACCAAGGTAATGGAAGTTGCTGCCACGGCTGGTAATAGCCACATGTTTTTTATCCCATCAGATTCACCGGACGCAAAGTTCTGGCCATCAGTCAGAACATCTGTGAGTCAGACTGTACAAGGATCACCAACCTACGCAGACCACTGGATCGCTGGGCACGGCATTTTGCTCTATTTTAATTGCTTAACACAACCTCCGGTTGAACATCCACTGCCATCATGTGATCCTTGGTCAGTCTGCATATATCTTCCAACTGAAGCAGAAATACGGAGAAAGCCAGACTGAAAAGCCACAAAGTTCCTGGCCTTGACAGTTCCCCTCTGGCCTTATTCAAAGATGGGGGAACTTAGTTGTCACCGACATTCTATCACTTTTCACAAAAGTATGTAGCGATGAGAAGGTTCCTAACTTATGAGGATAATCTCTTGTGGTTCCGATCCACAAGAAAGGCTCTCATAGTGAATGCACCAATAACCAAGGAATCCCACTTTTCGCTGTCGTGTCTAAGCTTTTTGTAACTATTCTGCTGCGTAGGCTCACAGTTACCCGCGAGAGTTTGTCCTGAGGAACAGGCTGTCTTTCCTTCTGGTCGTGGTTGTTTTGACGAAATTTTCAGCTTGCGTCAAATTGTCGAAGATCGTCAGATCCACCGAAGAACAACAATGGTGGTGTTTTCAGATATCTGAGCCGCTTTTGACTCAGTAGATATGTCGTCACCTTGGAACTGTCTACTACGGAACAGCGTTCTCGACAAGTTTGGCATACACTTTAAAGAGCTGTATAGTCACACCTCTGGCGAATTTAGAGCTTATGGAAGTCTTTTTTCTTCGTTTCCTTCTACCACTAGAATGAGCCAACGTTGTCCTATCTCGCCGTTCCTGTTCAACTTTTCCATTGAAGATCTACATCGCACACTGGAAGGAGCCCTGAGCCGCGGCGTTGAGCTTCTACTCGGAAGCAGAGTAGTGAACCTGGAATATGCTGATGACATCGCTTTGCTGTGGGAGACTGGCACGTTGTTCAAAAGATTTTGAACCGCTTAGCGATAGAGGCATCTAACTACGGTCTGTATTTTGCTCTATCCAAGTGTAAAGTTTTACTCCAGGATTGGCAGGCTCCTGTGCCCACGCTCACCATTTCGGGCGTCATCCTGGAGCTCGTCAACAGCTTTACTAAACTAGGGAGTCGTACTAAGGGTGCTGGCGGCATTGACGATGAAATTCCTCAACGAACTGCCAAAGCTCGCCTTGCATTTACAAACCTAAGATACTTGTGGCGTCGTCGCGATTTATGTCTCAAGCTCAAAGGCCGAGTGTACAATGCCACAGTCCGTGCTGTCCGACTGCACGGCTGTGAGACCTGGCCTGTTCGATCGAAAGATTTGCGTCGACTGTCTATGTTCGACTAACGCTGCTTGTGTTCGATTGCTCGCTTATGGTGGCAGCACCATGTGAGCAACGTGGAAGTTAGAAGCCTAATCATAGGAGCGGACAGTCCTGATCTCCAGAGCATAATCATCCAGCACCGACAGCTTTGGCTCGGTCACGTACTGCGCATGCCGGCCCACCGCCTTCCATGTCGCGCATTATTTTCACTTCCTGGACACGAATGGAAAAGCAGCCACGGCGGCCAACCGATGAACTGCAAAAGGAGTATGAAGATTCTAACTTCGGGTCTAGCTTCCGTTGGATTCGTGGGTCTCCCAGACTGGGGACCACGTGAAACGGATTACCAATGGTTGGAAGGCTTGGAGGATATGGCCCCGAAAAGGAGTCAGTGGCGTTAATGCTGTTCTACCATCTCTTCATTCTATAATTTTTGATGTTGACAAAGACAGGAAAACAGAAAAAAGATTGAAAACGGCGTGTGTGAAACTGAAAGAAACATTTTTCTAACGTTTTCCTCTCCCTCTCTCTCTCCTTGTTGAAGATTACATTCTAGTTTCCATACCACCATGGTTCGGATGACACATTTGTCTGTTTACAGAACTGTGATAATATATATACATACATATATATATAAGGTAACCTTATTATACTTTACCTTGATAGACTTAGAAGCCAACAAAAGAATGCTGAGCAAGATATGCGCTAATCACAGTCTAGTGGAACGTACAGTGACCGGGAATCGATCCCTTTCATGTCAACCGAACTCCTGCACCGGCGGTTGCAGAAACTTCAGAAGGATACCGATAATTGCTGACTAATTATCATTTTTGCTTCATAGGATATCTACGGTTTTGTTTTAAGACTCGTCATGTTAGATTGCAGCTGCATCCGTCTATCTTGGTGATGTATCCAAATAGTGCCTAGTTCAGTTTGAAGCAAGGCATTGCATAAATACGCTATTGGTCGTTCGTTGCCCTTACAGAATTCATAAGTCTTAGTAGCTCCTATGCTAGAGATATTTACAAAGGTTAAAATATGTCAGCAGTACGGCTCCCATAAAGAGTCACGCAATGGATAAGAGAAAATGAACACCTTAGACCCGTTATGTAGCTCGAGAAGTTCAAGGCGAACAGTTCTTAGCATGATCAGTCCCACCACCATGAACGTTTCCCGTTCCTTTGCTAACACAAGCAGAAGGGTATTGTTCAGCACTAATCTGATGTAGCTAGCACAATCTTTTCTACTCCATCACAAGGTCATCTGCACCAGCACAGTCAATAATGCTTTCATATCACCATAGCATTAGACAAAACGTGGATCACGGGAGCGGACACTGCGTGTGGTGGTGAGAACAGAATCCTTGGAAGATTCTTGTTCAGATGGTTCATTCATCCAGGTTCTTCGTTACTGCGGTCGCATCACACAAAATATGCAGCGAGCAATCTGGTTGGATCATGCAAGAATTTTTCACAATGACCTCATCATACGAGTTTTGGCCATTATCTATCTATCTATGAGGTTCGCTATTGGGAAAATGCCTGTCGTCTGTCGTTATCCGCTAAAGTTGACGTTAGCAGTGAAAATAAACTGAGGTAGTATTGAGGAAAGGATCGTAGTACCTCTTACTTGGGTCAAAAAGGCGAAGAAAACTCACGTGATGTGGCAACCAGATGATTGGTCCTGACCATAGCTGTTAGTGGCGACACATGAATAATCCCCAGTGTCATCTTCGTTTGTGTAGATAAATTCCAGAACCGCGTAGCCGCGGTCAAATATTGTACTGAATCTGGAAGCTGGACAGTAAACGCACGTTGTCATAAGATGCAGTTACTCACAGAACAGTATGATCTAGACTTTGCTGGGCGGTAGATAAAAGCAGAGAAATGAGACAGCCAAAGAGTGTATAGAAACTTCAGACAGGCCATCAGCTTCCTTTCGGAAGTAATTATGGTTACTTAACGAAATAGCTGGGAACGTTTGTGTTGTGGTATTGTTGATAACAGATGTTTCCAGCTCTGATGTACGCCTTTTGTTCTTTCTCGGGTACTTCATTGGGAGTATGATGCGACCTAGAATGTCTATGACATTTTTACCAGAGATAATTGAACATAGAATGGATTTTTGTAGTGGGTAAGAAAATAGAAAGCGCTTGAATGCTAGCTGACCGACAGCATGCCATTTAGTATAATATATTTCGAGTAAAAGACAGACGAGTGCCTGACCACAACAGAAACGGTTCAGGAACATTTACGGTAATCGCACAACCAAGGTCCTTTCAACCGGCGTACAGAGAAAGTTTCAGGTGGCTGATTTCAGCTGCTCCAAACATTCTGGGACCTCGTGATCTTCAAGAGTAGGAGAATCGAACTGGTTTGATACAGGAGCCTGAATGTGCTGGCAAAGATCAGATTGATAGCCAAGCAACCCGGAAATCTACAGCGTAAACCTTCGTCAAAACGTAGCATGTGCCAACAGAGAGTGATGTACTACGGTTTTATCCTGCAGGAAAAATAACGGTGTGTAGACCTGAACTCACAAGCTGCCAAGGGTTTTCCGTTCTTGAACCACTCGACTCGGAGCGAACTATCACCTGCTGGTCGCACTCGTACGCTGACACTAGCAGGATCACCTTCGTTCACGTTCAGATTGCTGGCTGGTTGTTGTGTAAATTGCGGAGGTTCTCGTATTTCCACTGAATCCATGCTACTGGTTCTTCGCATAGGCTGCATAGAATTGGATAGACGGATGAGCTGTAACTAGTGTTTCACAATAGAAATGTGACAGGGTTTACGGGTTTTTTAAACTCACTATAATGATCTACATTCACATCTGTACAAATTCCAGAAAACCTACAGTCAACCAACTGGAATCTTGACCGTTCCCTGTTTAGCTTGGTGGCAAACTATCCTAACCATCCAGACCATAGAGGATTGGCCATTTTCAGCACGCAGTGGCGTGTACTTTGGTAGGGTATACGATGAGCACTCTGCTGCCCAGTTGTCCCTCGCTTCACAATCTATTAGGTTACAACGCTTGTGTATAAGCAGAAAAAGATACATGGCATTTTGCAACCTATAACGCCAAAAACTATAAACCCATGCCATTGGTTAGGAGGTACTGTTGGAAGCACGTTGTTTAATTCTCAAGATATATTTCTGTTTAACGCGTAAAGTAAAACGTGAAGAGGTTGCCCTGCCTAATTGTATGATGCTTTCGATTATCAGGCCTGAAGTAAATTTACTGGAAATGACTAAAATTAACCCTGACCCAAAAGTGACTGTCCAGTAGGCTTCGAGTTCATTTAATTCACAACCGTCGCTTTTACTGTTCTCCCATCGAGTGGAAGAAGCATATAAGGAGCCGCTTGTGTTAGTGCCGCCTTCGCGTATCCTCAAAAACTGAATGATTTCTACCACATGATGGAGATAGCATTAGTAACTAGTTGTATTTGTCAAAGTATTAGTATTATTATTTGTCAAATGGCAACCACTTCCATGAACTTCAAAGTAGCTGTGTTGCATCGGTTCTGTGTGATTGCTTCAACCGACACCACACCTCGTAGCGAGGTCTAACAATTTCCGTAAGTTGACTGATGCCCAGCGTTCAGAGATGTACAAGGCTATAAAAGCCGAAACATTCTAAAAGTAAGCACCTACATTCCATGAAATAATTAGCGTTAACCCTCGCCCCATAAACTAAGCCAATATCCTTAAGCTGTCAAGACATAACATACCCTAATTCCCCCAATGAGCTACTTTGTATGAAGAGTTGCTTATTCTATCACCGAGTGGATAGGTACAGCACCGACTTACCAAGGACTTGACCTTGATGTTTTTTGCTGGAACCCCAGCGGATGGTGTCCTGCGTGATAAGTGCTGTGTATCCGCTTGGCTAGGTGGTACAGGTGGTCTGGCCTGATAGCTCTGTTGCTGGTACACCTGAACCTCTGGTTGTTGTGGTCGTTGTTGTTGTTGCTGTTGGTTATATTGAATCGATGACTGCGATGTATACCCTGGACCCGGAGAAATTGGTTGTCGATATTGCTGAAATTGTTGCGCTGGGTATTGGGCTTGTTTCACTTGTCCAGCTGAACTAACCTGTTGAGTACGAAGCGGTGTCTGCTCGAACTGGGAGGGCGTGGGTGGCGGTGGTGACGGTATTACTTGGTTCACGTTTGGTACCGAGCCACTTATGTTGGCGGCTGGCCTTGCATATGCAGGACTTGCCCACTGTTGACTAGGCTGAACGCTGGTTGGTTGTATTTGGGCTGGCTGCTGATTGGTCGGCTGATAGGTCATGAACACTCCACCTGTGCTAGGCGGTTGAGTTGGATACACAACCGAGCTTGGCCGCTGCGACTGCCCCTGGCTAGGTACCGCTGACTGCGCAAATACAACATGGCTAGTGGGCTGTGCTTCTTGAAATTGCCTATTCAGCTGCTGTGGTTGTTGGTACTGCAATTGAGCTTGCGGATACATGTCATATGCCCCCATCTGTGGTTGTCCTTGTTGTTGACTGTATTGGATCACGTTTGGCTGGTTAGCTGGAGTCGGTTGACTACCAGTGTAGAAAACGGTGCGGTTTAATTCTGGCGTTTGTTGTTGCGGCTGCTGAGGCGTCGTTATGACACGATATTGAGTGACTTGTTGCTGCTGAGGCATCCCCTGACTTGATCCAACAGTAAAGACCTGTGGTTGTGCGGCTTGATATCCAAGATGCTGTGGGGATGTAGGCTGAAACTGACCGGAGGGTACCACAGCATTCGGCGACTGGGAAGGTTGCGCATAGTAAGTCTGTGCCCCTTGCGTTGAAGGTTGTGCAGGTTGCCCGAGGTTAAGTTGGGCGCGAGAAAGATTAACTACTTTGGTTGAAGTCGCTGCAGGCCCCAAATTAACAGGCTGAGGATAGGTCTGATACTGTACAGAGCCACCGTCTTGCATTGTTCGAACCGGGAAAGTGTGGCGCACTGTTTCTCAATTTATTTGGAGAATTGGAACCTTCAGTCCGTCGAAACTATAGTTGTTTCACGCTATGAAATAGAATTCGTCTGCACAAGAAATCACTGGGTCCACAATGAATCCGTTCTTGTTGTCAATTCCGAAAGGACACACTAGGTTTCTCCAAACCCAGATTGGTTGCGAAAATTTCACCACCTTCAGTCAATTTTGTAACCCTATTTTTATGTGGCCGCGTGTGTGTGGGCACTATCCGCGATGCATGTGCGGGCTAGCACAAACTCGCCGTTTGACCGAGGTGTGCACACACTTAGCCACACTAGTAGCATCCTGAAAAGAGAGAGGGCGTTCCATCTCAAGGTTATTTATTCTACCCCAATGAAGAAGGAAAGTATCGGTCAATGTGGTTGTATGATGTCGACGGTGACACGCCCCCGTGGGATGTGTTTACGTGTAGGTAGATTTCTAATAGGGTGAATGGGAACTATCATCGGGAAAAATATGGACAAACCCATCGATCGGAGCTGCAGCATCTAAAAATATTTGTGCCTAACAGTAATGCCCTGGTGCTGTTTAATGCAGTAGGTACTAGACTCGAAAGTTCGTTCCAATTGGACTGCCTGACTGAGCATTATTCCCCATGGGACTTATCCAATTTTTTACAGAGGCAATTGTGTGCGCTTGTAGAAAGGGTAGAACTTGCGGTGATAGGAAAGCATAGCCCACTTCAAACAGGATCCATAGCCGCGATTCACAACAGGAAATAAATTCAGGCATAATCCCACCCGTTGTGAAAAATCACTGTCGGTTAGTTCACGTGATTTGAAATGTAGTGCACGATGACAGTTAATCGTGCGTCTTTGCATTACAAACTAACTGGATAAAGCAAGTCCTGTACAAAATTAGTCGCGAAACTGATGTAATTTATGTGTCTATCACATCAGACGGCTTTCCTTTTGTCAGTTTTCTTATGCCACCAAGCCACATCATGAGCTCAACTCTCCGGGAATTCAAGAGTGCTATTTAAATAAAATGAAACCACCACCTGGTGAACGTTCCGGAGATGTGGTGGCTTTCTGACTGAATCTTACTACGATGAATCACGACACATTTCTGGTTTGTTTCATCAGTCCTATACACATATCACATAAAGCAAATATACGGATACGCACAGGAAGCGGACGGTCGTTGCTCGATCCATCTAATTATCTAAATACCTAAATAACTATTTGACACACTCGATCATGGGAATCTCAAGAGGCCTTTAGAATAATATGATCTGGGTTATAGAAAATCGTGGACATTACCTAGTAAATCACTTGCTTCATTCCGGGTGTTGCGACTTTCCTTAAAGACAGCAATCAGTCTGCGCTTATATAACTCCAATAAAAGGCTAGTAAAGTGTTCAGGTAAATAACGCAGTGTGTCGACTGGAGCGATAGGTTTCAATATGTAGTAGTACCATTATTATTATTATTCCATAGCCTTATGACTTACTAACTGTTTAGTTGGTTTATACTTGTGAATACAGCCACCATAGGTGCTGCAGCGTCTTGTCAAAAAATATCACTTAAATCGGCGGTTCACAAAGATTTTGGGTAGTGGACGTCTTTTTAATGGAATCTCTCACAGCGAACTTCCTGAGATTTTGATAACAACAAGACCAGGCTTTAATAAAACGAGAATAAAATGGAGTGTCTTGAAAACATCCATTACTGTAAACTGAGCTGACACGAGTGTTTATTATTGTTGGCATGCAACACTGACTTCTTTGGGGTTTGGTGTTATTGAGGAAAGCTGCGATCTCATGTCTGGTTCAGCTTCAAGTATGTCGCGGTCTTTATTCTGTATCAGTATAATGCAAAAGTGCACTTTTACTCAGAGAGGTTGTAGCGAATTGGCGAAGCACGGCGAAAGCTGTCTTTGATATGACAGTGTAACGCCCTTTAGTTTGCATCAGAAATCAGACCGCGACACTACGTGAAGCCCTTAGTGAAGGTAAAAAAACTGATAGCGTGCTGATGAATTGCTCATACTGAAGAGATGTGAAACGAAGAAGCATTTCTGTGCAGCTGAATGGATTCTTGACCAATGAAAATGCTTGCAGCTGCTTCTCATCTTCACTGGGAGAATACTGAGACAATGCTTTGGCTAGATTTTCTAAATGTCACACAATTTACTAATGGGTGGAAGCATTTTGACGATTATTTTGAGTTTATCGCAATCCACCGACAATTCAAATGAGTCAGCTACCACTCTGAAAAAGCAACAGACGACCGGTCCGCCCTATTGGGGCTTGTCAGTGGTTGCCATTCTTCAGACCTCTTCCGAGGATCGATCAAATTGTCGGTCGATTGCGACGAACTCAAAATACTCGCCGAAATCCTTCTACTCACAAGTATTACAAATTTGCCATTACGGAATGCAGAAATGCAATGTCGATTTATAGCTGCCGTAACCTGGAAGTCCTGACGCCAGAAGGCCAACCGCTGTTATCTGCGTGGCAGGAGAGGATGGATCGGGCTGTATTACAGTTAGTTAACAATACATGATGGTCGACTACCGTCCCCCATGTCTCAGTGGCTTCAGCTGCGGGATAGTTGTCGCAAGCCACTAGCAGTCATGGGTTCAATCCTCGTTAGTGGACCAAAGGATACGCAACCCTAACGTGCTCCAATAGGGTGAAATGGCCATCTGTTGCTTTTCCGGACTGCTGGTAGTTGACTTAACTGAATTGTCGGCCGATTGCGACGAACCCAAAATGCTTCACAAGTACTTCAGAAAGAACGTCTATATGTCCTGTATCTCCGTTCAGCGCAACATGTAACGCTGTCCATTTGAATAGAGAAACAGGTATACCAGATGCGTGAGGTTTACTTCTTTTTACTGCAGTTGCTGTTTTCTTATCGCCTCGAGATACTGTATCCTTTGATATTGGTATGGTAGACTGTAGTTTTGCTTAGTTTTAATCCCGCATGCACCAATCCATTTCGACCGTATTGGCCTGATCTTTTCCTGGGCTATCGGTTACGGTTCTCTTGTCAAAGCAATACGATAACTAACTACGTATGATGCTTTATTATCCTTTGCATTTATAGACCTTAGGCATGTACTTTTGAGGGTTCAACAGTACTTATAGCTTACGCACAAAGTACTCCGTTTTTTATCTTTACAGTCCGCATACATTTTTTCAGGTTGCCTCCGTAATTCTACAGTCACCATCAAAATGTTTAGAAGCCCTTGGTTACAAAAACCAAGCTGTGGGTAATTGTTGTGTTCCATAAATAGAAAAGAAAGATAAAGGTCGTATGTGTGCCTCTTACTTATTGGGAGAGAGAATCCGGTTAGCACGGTTTTATATTGCATCGGACCACGTAGCCTGGGCACATGGAACGTCCCCGCTTCTGCATTCTCAGTAGGCACAATAGATGACCCAACTATTACTACATGAGAATTCGACGACGAATATTTCTGTGACATAGTTAACAATGTTCCTGTCTTTAGCCATTAATTCATGTAAAGTGAAAATAAAATAATTATCCACAAAAGTCAAGAACATACCTATACTTTGTTCACTTTGCTTAATTGAAATCCGCGTCAAGCATAAAATATGACAGAACGGTCAGCTGTTTGGCACCTCGCACAGATAGTTTCTCATCAATTCGCAGTCAATTCAGCACACTCATCAAACACCGAAATATCTACGCTTTCCTTCTGGGCTTTGCTGGGTGGGATGGCACCAATGAACCTCTCTTTCCCATTGGCGGATTTCAGAGGATAGTGACTTTCGAACTAACTAGCAAATGGGCCATATCTCATAATTCGCCTTTCGCCTACCCCCCGGGGACCAAGTGTTGATTATGTGAGCTTGCGTGGACGGAGATGGACACATCCACACTCTACCCATCGCACCACGATGACATAACCACACCACTTTTTGGCATTTGACAGCTTCGTGCACTGAAATGTTGTCTACCAAATTCAAGTGCGTTCTTCGAAAGAGTTGTTTTAACTGGGCCGTTCTGTAGACCATCAGATTTGGTGTCACGAATTTCCACGGCAGATTTCTATTGAATGAAATGACCGTCTGATGCTTTTCCTATTAGCAGCCTACCTATGCCGCTTGGAATCTAATTGCGATGAACCAACTTGAACCATACCGAAATTCGTCGAGTCATTCGTAATCAAAAATCTAAGCCTCACCTGTATTCAAAATTGCTGTGTGGATTCACGGCGCTGGCAAGGGAAGACCTGACTGTGACGTTCAACCACTGTCTTCTGCACGAGCAATAACGTTCACGGCAATGGAGGATGGGTCGGGCTATATCGCAGTTAGGTTTCAATTCGTAATGGTCGTCTGTCGTCCCCCATGGCTCAGTGGCATAAGCTACTGGCTAGTTGGCGTTGGCCTCTAGCAGTCATGGGTTCGATCCCCAGCAGGGAACTACTGACGAGCCTTAATAGGGCGAAATGCGCGTCTGGTGTTTTCCCGGATTGGTAGCTTACCTATGCGGCTTGGAATCTAATTGCGATGAACCAAGTTGAACCACACCGAAAGTCGTCTACTCATTCGTAATCCAAATGACCATAGCCAAGACGTTTTAATGGAATTGTAACATTGTGGGTAATCCAGTGGAACCGTTGAAAGTATCAAGTGGACCATGCTTTGAGGGACACTGATCCAATTGGTAAGTGCTAAACCGTATTATGACAAAATGTCATATTTGGACGACTGATAATTCACGCGTTGCCATGAAATTGTCAGATATGCATTTTATTTTGACCCGTTGTGAATATTGTAAAGCTACTGCTCATGTATCCCATTTTACACTATTGAACTGTTAAAGGTCTTCGCGAAGCGATGCAATAATGCCAATACGGTGCTCGACCCAGTAACCTACTACGATAAGCGAGGCATGCCCATGTAGTACTTTATAGCACAGATATTTTGAACCGGGTTACCTGTTCCCGACGATATAATAACCAAACTATTTAACGCGTTCTAAAACAGAATCTGAGTTTTTGTGGCACTCAGAGAGAACAAATAGAAAGTCTTCGGTTCTTACCAATCTTAGTTTCAACCCATGATATTGACATCTGGTCACGTTTCTGTCCACTGTTTATCATTGCGACCGCAACAGACCTTGAATAGATCAACCTCTGAACTTTTGGCAAATAGTTAGAGGTACCCCGGAACATTAGCACTTAACGAGATGAATAACCTTATCCTATTTGGGTCATA